CATCAATGAGCTTGTATTCCCCCAAATCAGTTAATTAAAAGCAAAACCCGTAAGCCTATTTGGTTAAAATCAATAATGTTAAAATAGGTCAGAAATTCAAATACGCTAGAGTATAAACTAGGGTTACGTCAACAGATTTTTTTTTATTAATATAAACATCTCCATGGCCATAAAGAGGGAAAATGAGATGAAATCACACGCGAGAATTCAAAATTAGGGTGCTTTTGCTTTCTCTTTAGCTTTAAACACGTGAAGCTTCTACAACTAATACAAGAAGAAACCATGCAATTGGGTAATGGAATTGGTCCCCTTATTAAAAACGCATTATACCCTTTTTGGTTCTCTTCTTGATGTTTACCTCTCTCTCTCTCTCTCTCTCTCTCTCTCTCTCTCTCCATTGAAATTAAAGGGAGTGTTGAATATGGAATTGTCCTTTACAAGATATATAGAAGCTAAAGGTATTAGAAAAAATATCGCAATCAAAATTAGAATAAGAATAGAAAGAAAAAAAAAACAGTTTCGTTTTAACTTATACATCAAAAGTGATACTTTGAAATTTGGGAATTCAAAATCGAAACAAATAATTAATAATTAGTCATATGATAATGAAATCTGATCTAATAATAGATTAGATTTCTGCAATTAAATGAGTTAAATTCGAATTTGAATATGAATATATTCGAAAAAATCCAAAGAAAATGATTTTGTTAGTACATAAGGATTTTGTTTTTATGAAATATGGTTTTGAAACGAATCCGAATAAAATCTAAAATGAATCGAAATTTGATGTAAAAATGGAATTGATATGTTTTTTATAATAAAAAATCATATCCTAAAATAAATGAAAGCCAACACACTAAAACTATTAAAATATATTGATTACACGATTATTTACAATGAAATTTCATGTTTTGTTATAAAAAAAATGCCATTCATTTATTGTTAGTTTGATGCCTTAATTCCAAAACTAACTTGCAAATTAGTATAATCTCACAATTAACATATAAAGATAATAAAATGTGTAAAAATTAATATTGTATGGATAATAATTAGAAAATGATGTTAGAGGTGTCAGCATGCGTTGGCTTAGGGCTTTAAGCGTGACAATATTCAATTTGCACCTTCTTTATTTATTTTATTTATTTATCATTTTCAAAATGGGACCACATCTTCACATTCACCCTTTAATTTCAACTCCCCAAATGCCTCTTTTTAATTAATTTCTGAGTATTTTAATATCATATTTTCCCTCTTTTACCTATGGTAATCGTGTTAATATGCATTCTTCATTTTTTTTAATTTATTGGGATTTACTCTAGTCTTATATATGCGATGAATTTTGCATTACCAAAGAAAATTATGTTCAATATATTTGTTATTATTTAGTTAGAAAATTTTCATATATCAATTTGGTGATTAAGTCTATTCACAACCTTATAGTGTATAAGGGTATATATGTCCTCACGTTTTGTACAACAATACATGAATTCAAATAACTATGGAATTTGAGGGATTTTTTCATTAAAGAACCAAAAATATTTATTGATACAAACTAAATCAATTACATATCAATGCAATTTTGCGAAAAAAATATTATAAGTCTCTTTCCTAATCAAAACTATCGCATACCAATACAATTTTTATTCAAATTTAGTTTTAAAATTAATAACAAAAAAATATAGGAGGAGAAAACAAAATTTCGAAGGAAAACAAGATCTCCAAGATTTAATAGTGCCTTAAAGATAAATGCATATGCACAAATAAAATTAAATCATTTGCATCATGGGGCCTCGGAGGTTGAGTAATTATTGTACCTTAATGTTGTGATGATGAGGAACCAAGCACCATCTATATGTAAAATTTTAAAAAAATACATACATACATATATATATATATATAGCACACCAGAAGACCCATCATATATGCAAACAAAAATAAAATATACAAATTTTCTAACATAAACCTATTTTCTATAATACTTTCAGTTAAAGCTATATATATATATATATGTAGGATCCAACATGTATTAAATCATAACTCATTCATCATATTCTGAGGTTATATATACTCTCTACCCTTCTCTTCTGTGTCTCTCCCCACACAAGAAGCAAGAAAGCCCATATCTATTTTCCCACATAAATTCATATATGTATGTGTGTATATAGGAATATATATGTGCATATCATGCACCACTAGCAGGTAAGCTGCCAGCATGATCTGGTCTTCCTCTTCGAATAGGATTTATATTGTCATTTTATCTTCGATTTTTGGTTTTAGAGATTCTATTTTCATGGAGAGAGAGAGAGATAGAGATAGAGAGAGAGATAGAGAGAGAGAGAGACTAGATCATGCTGGTAGTTTCACCTGCTCATGGTTGTATGTAGCATGAGAAAGATGATATAGAGAAGACGCCAAGGAGGAAAAAAAAAACCCTAATGTTATTTAAAGCTTTTTTTTTCTTATCATATTTATCTTCACAATATACAAGTGTAGGGTCTCTTGGAAACCCTAGAATGAAGAAGCTACGTGTATATAGGTACGTTTTCCTTTTTCCTTTTTTTTAAATTTTTTTTTGTGAGGTTTATATATTAATTATAAATTGTTGATCCTTTCATTTTTCTAATGATATTACTATTTCGGAATAATTCAATTTTTTTTCTAAATCCGGTGAACTTAATTTCCGGTTTCTTCTTGTTAACACTTCAAATTATTTACTCGAGTGTTATATCGTGCTATTTTTTTTTAAATATTGCGACAATGGTTAGACGTTCTGTTGGCACTTAAGTTGCTATTTTGTTTACCGTCTTGATCTCACTAAATCTTGTGATACAAAAGCGTTTGCGGTTAATTAATTCAGAATTTTTACATTTTTAACTGTTGGTTAGAACTTAGAATCTCATTGTGGAACATATCATGTTAATCTCAATTTAATTTACCTTGTTAACCAATATTTATACCCACATGACCTGAGATATTTTCTGCAGAATTTTTTCTAATTTGAGTTATATTAGTCGTAAACTCTTGATAAAAAAAAAATTCATATTCTGGCTTGTAATAAATCTTGAAAACTATATATATATATATATATATGTGTGTGTGTGTGTGTGTGTGTGTGTAAGTTTCTTTTCATGTTATATTGCAGAACCCGTGAATTGAATTTATAGTTTCTTTTATAATTTTGGAAAATAAAATATATGTAGACGCACATTTAATTGTCTTCTTCAAGGATATATGGCAGAGAGATTTAATTGCATTTTTGGGGGGTAATTGAATTAAAAACCCTTCGGATTGCACCGATTTTCTCCGATATATATATATCCTCTTCTAATTTTGGTACCCATATTTAGATTTTCTGCTTTTCTAAATATACTAAGTTCTTTATGCATATTTGTACACTTGTGCATGGCAACATGCATATACAAGTGTATATACATACATCTATATATATGTATATACGGTGATAGATAATCTATAATTAGTTTATCTTGATCACGTCATTATCACTTTTGTTACTTTACATATTTTTATACACATACACACACACACACATATATATATATTCTGTAATATATAATTATGGGTCTTATCTAAATTTTTTGAAAGTTCTAAAACAAGCTGAACAAAATGTAGCATCTTATTATTTTATTAGTTCAAAAATCATACAATTTTTTATTATTTGAAAAATATAATATTCTGAAAAAAAATGAATGAATTCGAAACCAAACTTATAAACAAAATTTTAAAAATGCTTTTAAAAATCGAGTTTAATGATTATAAAATAATATGGTTTCAAAAAATTCAATATAAAAGGAGCTAGGTGGTCACTTGTTTCAATACACCTTCAAACCTCACAAGCAAAGAGAGGGGTGCTTAATATGGATAAAATAAAACGTCGCCGTTTTATTAAGAGTTAAGAAAGTGGTGCGGTGTACATTTAGTTAATGGGCCGATTCTTTAAGGCCCAATAAGTATACCACGACAATTTGGGCGAATACGCATTTGCTTTGAATTGGACCATATTGATAATCTAAAAACTATTGAGGTCATATTGTAATAAATCTATTCTTGCAGCCGAATCCTATCATTACATGGTTTATGGTTCGGGTTCCAAAGCTCACGATCTGTGTATGTGGTCTCCTTCAGAACACGTGAAAAAAGTCACTCAATGACAAATAAATAACTAATTTATTTATTTATTTTTATAATTAATTTTTACTATTTTTTATATTTGGTTTACTTTTTAGGACAGTATTTTCGTTTTTTATAAATAGTTTTTTTACTGTAGTCTTCGATTACTGTTTTCCACGAGAAACCCGTGTGTGATTACAATCACAATCATAAAGGATAAAGGTAACTCCTCTGACATTGTGATTGTACCCATTTTTCAATTGTAAATGATTTTTACCGTGTAGGATTCATTTTTTGCCTTTTGGATTTTACAATTTTACTCTTTATAAATTTTATCAAAAAAATGCTATAAGGAAACAGTATATAACACCTTATATAATACCAAATGCTCTGTAATTTATTACCGTATCGTTTTACTCTTTTTTTTTAAACGAACAATTTATTGAAATTATTATTTCCGAATTTAACAATAATACCCTTTTGCGTAATGTTTTGTTTATATTCTTATTCTGAAATACAGATTGAGACAATGCATCAATTTTGGTTTTTCTTAGGAAAAACGATTTCAGAGTTTGCTGAATCATTAATTTCACTAATCAAAATAAAAAAACAGGCGAAATGTAAATTATTAATTATTTTAGATTATAAAATATAAATTTTATAAAATTAGTAAAAAATCATATGTTTGTTATTATTATATTAATATGTAATACAATGTTTCGAAGAAATTCATGGAAACAAATAATAGGCTGAGGAAAAAATATTTTTTTTTAAAAAAAAAAATGGACTTATTTGGGGTTTTTTTGCCTATTCGGGATTTCTCTTCCCCCTGACCGCAGTAAATACAGAAGGATTGCACTGGGAAATCAAAACGAGTGGTGTTGCTCTGTTTCTCGACTTTCTCTCTCTATATATACACACACATACATCTCCTCACTCCTGCAAAATTGTACCCTTTCATCGCTTCTCTTACCTCCCCTCTGCATTATCTCCTCCGCCATCTCCGATCTCTTCGAAAAGTTCGAAGCTTTTCAGGTAAAGATCTGGTCCGGGTTTCGCCTAGATTCCCTCCTCCATGTATTATCGGGATTCCATTCTCTGTCTGGGTTTCAGACAGATTGTTTTTCTGGGCATGCAAATTTTTCTTCGCTTTGTGTTTCCGAAGCATGATGCTGTTATGTTTTATGTGAAAATTGCTTTTCCCATGAAGTGGCAATGTTTGAACAACAGAATATATATGAACATAAGGCGATTGCCGTTTTCAAATTCAGACGAGACGAATGGAGTTTTGTCTTTTTGTTGTTGTTGCATGAGATTCGATTGTTCCGTGATTCGTTTTCCACATATTCCAGCAAGGTATATACTCAAAGATTTTTGTGTGTTTTTGTTGTTCAATTTTGAGTGAATTTTATTTAAATTTGCCTATAATTGGCTTCGGTTTAGAACATCTGGGCATTCCTTTATTCATCCTGCTTTTGATTCATGTTTTTTCTCCTTCTCGATCAATGAAGCAATATCCTGTAGAACAGCAAATACATTCTATCTTCTGTGATTCGTTAGACACAAGTGGTAATGTTCTATTCTTGGTACTTTCCTTCGAGTTCCATGATTCGAGGAGTAAGGTGGTTTAACCTAGATCTAGTTGTTTCATGTAAAGCTTTGTAGTTTCTTGTGTATTGTTCTTCATTGCAGAATGGGAAGCAGCAATGGAGCTGACTATGGTGCCTACACTTACAAGGAGCTTGAGAGAGAGCCCTACTGGCCTTCTGAGAAACTAAGGATATCAATCACTGGTGCTGGAGGCTTCATCGCTTCCCACATTGCCCGTCGCCTGAAGAGCGAAGGGCATTACGTTATTGCTTCTGATTGGAAGAAGAACGAGCACATGACCGAGGACATGTTCTGCCATTAACCTAGATCTAGTTGTTTCATGTAAAGCTTTGTAGTTTCTTGTGTATTGTTCTTCATTGCAGAATGGGAAGCAGCAATGGAGCTGACTATGGTGCCTACACTTACAAGGAGCTTGAGAGAGAGCCCTACTGGCCTTCTGAGAAACTAAGGATATCAATCACTGGTGCTGGAGGCTTCATCGCTTCCCACATTGCCCGTCGCCTGAAGAGCGAAGGGCATTACGTTATTGCTTCTGATTGGAAGAAGAACGAGCACATGACCGAGGACATGTTCTGCCATGAATTCCACCTTGTTGATCTCAGGGTGATGGATAATTGCCTCAAGGTCACCAATGGAGTTGACCATGTCTTTAACTTAGCTGCTGACATGGGTGGGATGGGTTTCATCCAGTCCAACCACTCAGTCATCATGTACAACAACACGATGATCAGCTTCAACATGATCGAGGCTGCTAGGATCAATGGGGTTAAGAGGTGAGATCATGTTTAGCAACTCGAGTTTGCTTAAAGGTTGTTTAAAGATTGACACTTTTGCTTTTTGTGTTCAGGTTCTTCTATGCATCTAGTGCTTGTATCTATCCAGAATTCAAGCAGCTGGATACTAATGTGAGCCTGAAGGAATCAGATGCTTGGCCTGCAGAGGTTTGTGACCCCTTACTGATCACATGTTTGGCAGAGATAAAGTATTTTTTTTCCTCATGTGATGGATAAATTTATTTGTGGATATAGCCTCAAGACGCTTATGGGTTGGAGAAACTTGCAACTGAGGAGTTGTGCAAGCACTACAACAAAGATTTTGGAATTGAGTGCCGCATTGGAAGGTTCCACAACATTTATGGTCCTTTTGGGACATGGAAAGGTAAAATCTTTTTCTTCTTCTTTGCTTATAATCACTTGTTTCTTTACTCGCCGTTTTCATCATCGTCGAGATTGTTGTTCCCGTTTGGTTAAAACATAAAATCCAGGTGGAAGGGAGAAGGCTCCAGCTGCTTTCTGCAGAAAGGCTCTCACCTCCACGGATAGGTTTGAGATGTGGGGAGATGGGCTTCAGACCCGTTCGTTTACCTTCATCGACGAGTGCGTTGAAGGTGTTCTTAGGTGAGCATCGTATGATTTACGGTCACTTAACCATAACATAAGGTGGAATTCAACTGATTCTTGTCTGAACCTGAGATTGTTGTCCATCTTTTAGGTTGACAAAATCAGATTTCCGTGAGCCTGTAAACATCGGAAGCGATGAAATGGTTAGCATGAATGAGATGGCCGAGATGGTCCTCAGCTTCGAGGACAAAAAGCTTCCTATCCACCATATCCCTGGCCCAGAAGGTGTCCGTGGACGCAACTCTGACAATACCCTGATCAAGGAAAAGCTCGGATGGGCTCCCACGATGAGATTAAAGGTACAAACTTTGCATCTTCATGGACATTTTTTTACCCGTTTTTACTGTAATCTGGATAATGCCCAAATCGTTTAAACTCTTGTATACGTTTCATCCTAATGGATAAACAGGACGGGCTTCGAATCACATACTTCTGGATCAAGGAACATATCGAGAAAGAGATGTCTCAAGGTGCTGATGTTTCGGCTTATGGGTCTTCCAAGGTTGTGGGAACTCAAGCTCCGGTTCAGCTGGGCTCTCTCCGTGCCGCCGATGGAAAAGAGTGAAAAGTTTTCAGCTTTCTCTGAATTCACCCCCACCCGCTTTTACAAGAAAGTTTATGTAAGGGCGATGGCTATATATCTAAGGTATCATCAATCAGCTAGTGTCTTCATTTACCTCCTCGTGGTGTTTAAGCTCTTCTATTGTAAGACATACAGATATTGTTTAAGGTAGACAAAAGCATGAATAAGTGTTTTTGAGTTTGGTCTTTTCTTCTCCCGTGTTGTTCCTTTTTGTAATAACCTTCTTCATCGTCATCATCATCATCATCATGATGGGGAATCATCAACTATGTTACTTGTCAAAGCTTGTGAATTTGGCGGTTGTTCTACTTGGAACGTTTGCTCTCTTGTGTACGCATCTCTTCTGGGTTTGGCCATGGACGCGATTTCAGAGACAAACGCTCCATTGGTAGATTGTGTTGAGACTGGATACGTATTATCTCCTTATTATGTCTTGTTGGATTCTTCTTGTTCTTGATCATATTCTTCCTACATTCACCCACTTGTTTCTTGTGGTCCTTTCTTCATCATCCACTGGAATTTGCAGTTGGGTGTCGTTCTCTTCTGGGTTTTTTTTTTGTAATGAAACAGACAGGAAAAAAAAATCCAATGGCCAAGTTATCTTATCATGTCTCTATGCCTTTTTTTTTTTTAATAAAGAGATCTTGATACTTGGTTCCAAATAAACTCCTATTCATCACATTATAATTATGGGTTTTTTACTTACAACCGCCAAATGTTATGGTTCATATTCAATTTGCTTGGATTGTGTTGGACCGTCGGTTATGTGTTTGGTTGAAAGTGTTTTTTCCTTTATATGATTGAATGTAAATAAAATTCATCAAGGAAAAAATAATAATTTCGTACGGTCCACTTTGAAAAAGCTAATAAACGGTCCAAAAAAGGTATTCCTTTTTTGTTGTGTGGGGGGACAAAGGAAAAAAAGCTATTGATGTGGATGTGATATTGGAAATTCTTATGATTATAATTATAGTTCGGAGAATATTCCTCTTTTATAGAATCCAAAAATAAATTCTACGGTCCACAAAAACTTAGAAGATGATTGTTTTTTAAAAAAAAAACTGCCTAAAAATATGCTTTACCACATAATTTATGTCAGAACTCAAAAGAACATTCATCGACTCCTACATATTGCACTGCTTATTGGATGAATATACAGAACCTTCATGTCAATATTGTTCTTACCATATAACATTAACTTTAATATCACATATAGACCACTTCAAGTTCGCAAACCCAACGATCCAAACGCCAATGAGAAAAGATTGTGTTGGTAAAGATTGATTCTTAGAACTGCCTAATAGCATATGAAGCTCTGTTTTAGCTTGTGATGGACATTTGAACATATATGTATGTATATGTACCACCTGAAGAGTGGCTGTCCTCTAGGGACTGACACGGCAGTCCACGGGATTGGTTTCGAGCTGCTCTGCGAATTTCCTGAGTATTTCATTCAGAGTGGACAGAAACCCGTCTTCCCTGGAGGTAGGAACTCCCTTTTCTTCGTTCTTTTCCCGGGGAAGGACACTCTCATAGAGAAGAGTCACCTGCTCGTTGTCTGAAGATAACGGTGGCAAGCCCAAGTCTGTTCCGCTCTTCTCAAGGAAGGCCTGTATGATCTCTGTCTCTGCTCGCCCATCTTTCTCGTCGGGCTTTTCTGGAATGATCTTCTCCGCAAGATCCTTCAGTTGCCTCTCGTCTGCTAGGAGCTGAGAAGGGTTCAACAAATCGGTCAAAGATCCACAATTAGATACAGAACTTTGTGTGTATGCTAGAATATGTGCGTAGCATACAGGGAAAAAGGCATCAAAGTGAAGCTCAAAACTTTGTGGATATCAAACCAATCAGCATCCAAATTAACGTACGGTTTATGGTAGAAGAATCATTAGATAAAATATCTTACAATCGTCAAATATCTGATGAAAAGAAAAGGGCAAAGGACAATGGACTACCTTGCGCAGCCTTGAACCATTAAAAATCTTGATGTTCTGGACGACGACTATTGGTTTCCCATGAAGTGCATCTGCTATTTCTTGTAAAATTGGCTGCAGTAGTTGCGCAAACTGTGCCTGCCCCAGCTCGTCATCACCTTCAGCTCCATGCTTCTTGATGATGTCATCTAAGACAGGAAATTCTGTTCGAAAATAGCCCAAACACGTCAAAGTCTAACGGAAATGAAATATGAATGCTTGGATATATTAGATTCTAATCTATAGATCCCAAATGCACAACTGCCTGTCACAATATTGAAACTTAAAGGACTGATCACTGAGGAATACACATCTTCTGTGTCAAGACACCCGAGATTTTAAACCGATCGAAAAAGATTGAGATTCTAGAAGGCAAAACAAAATGCAAGAAAGAACCAACCTGAGAATGGAGGGACACCCATCTCAACTCCCATGTGAGCGAGAGCATTTCTTATCTCGCTCTTCTTAAGCTTTCCGTTATCATCTACATCCAAATCGGTGAACAGATTCTCCGCCAACATAGCAAAATCATCTTCGTCCTCCAAGAACAGCCTCAGAGTACTCCCATCCAGAATTGATGCCACAATTGGATCATCTGTGAATCACATTAAGGGAACTAAGGGCTGTAACCGATCTCGATCCTCTCTATCAATCAAACTTTAAAAACAAGCCAAGTTTGTTCATTCAACAACATAAAACGGGAAAAAGAGATTCCAACAATGATAAGTCCATAACTTCGATGATCTTCAACCAAAGAAAAAAACGTCGATGACCAATATCAACCACCACATACACAAGATATGCATCTATACAACGATCAGACTTGATCCCTCTTTTTTGCACATAATTCTGCAAACTGCTCTTCGTATATCATCATTTGCAATGAAATAAAGACAGACGTTTGGGGCATTGCCGCGTTAATCAGACGGAGACATGGGTCCATTCGAACAATTAGACCGACGATTTGTTTGATCTCACACTAACATAACCCACCATGATTCAATCAATCAGACAATAGTATCAAATCAACACCCAGATTTCTGAAGTTCATGCACTTTTTCTAATTATATCCCTAAAATTGGGTAAAAACTACTTCCGAGAACGATTGATCTACAGTTTCATAGGGTTGAGCATTCTGCATACATAATCTACTATATTAATCCGGTACCTCTAAGAGCATCGGCAATGACGGAGACGTATTCTCCCAGTTTCTCGGATGCTTGCTCCGGATCGAGCTCCGTACGCAAGAAAGTGACGTCATCTCCGGCAGAGACTCGGGAGATCGCCGCTTCCTTGAGGTGTGGCGGCAATGAGAGCCCCGACAGCGATTCCGAGACCTTTGATTCCGCAAGTTCGAGAAGACGAGCTCCGATCACGCAACCGCCGAGCTCCGGTGGCGTACGGTCGACGGATCTGAGCTCGGCACCGTCGAAGATCGTCAGTCCTCCGGTAGACATTTCACCGTAGACAGAGAGAGAGAGAGCGCGACTGAGAGGGGAAGCGAATTGACCTTGAAAACTAAAATGGTACTTTTGCATTGACTAACGGAACAGTTAACGTGGACTTTCTTTTGTTTTTAATAGTTTATTTACGCCTCAGGATCTTGTTTAATTACATAAATGCCATTAGGCTTCCAATCAAACGTATGGGCCGGTCTTCTTCTATATAATGGGCCTCGTATGTATATACCGACAGCACAGCCTCGTTTCAGCAAATGGGCTTTTTGGATGGCAAATCTGAAAATATTTATTTTTTAATCAACATATCATCCATTCAAATTTCAATTTATTTAGCAAATATTAATTTTTGAATAACAGTCGTATTATATATATATATATACATAACTTTTAATAAGCAGACATAGACATGCATAACAAACAATTGTAGGAACGACGTTATTAACAATTTCAATTGGAGTAAAATTTTGAGGATCAATTTAATGAATTATCGAATACAATTAATGCATTAATGATTATAATATCCGCTAAAAATGAGCTTTATCATTACAACCTAATTTTATCCAAACAACCCCCCGACTAAAAGCGATTAAGAAAGACGAGACCTGTCTGAGCATGTGGGCCCAGGTGGGCCATATTGATATAAGTGGGCCTAGATCCATATATATCCCTAATGAATTGAGCCAATCAATGTCCGACGGAGCCCTCAACATATCCCATCACCACCACCCACTAGCCATATATATACACACACACAGATTTAATTTTATCTCGAATAATGTGATGAAAAATACTATAAATTCATTTAAAACTAAATACAGGAATAAAATCGTTTAGTGATTTATATTTTACTTCTCTTATCATATAAGTGATTTTTATATGATAGTTAGTAATATCTTAAAAATCAAATGTATATTAGTCTTAGGGTATTTTCGTATGGATATAAGTATTGCTGATTAAATGATACTGAATTAAGCTCCTTCTTGCCACTTTCATTTTGGGTTTTTCGGATGCATATATATATATATATGTATGTATGTATGTAAATGTAATTATTTAAATTTAATCTTGTCTCTCGTGCATGAAGGGAGTAAAAATTTGCATGTGGGAATTTAAAAATGGACCCACCAATGAAGGGAAAAAACCCCAAATAGTATATCCTTAAAAGGACGAAAATCAACTTCCTTATTTACCATAATGCCCCTCTTGCCACATCAGCCTGACTCGGATTTGATCCGGAAAAGGGCTGGATAATTCCTATTTTATCAAACTACTTGTGCGCTTATCATAAATTTAAATTTAAATTACTCAAAGGTGCCTAAAACATTAAAGTTTAACGTATTCTGCCCACACATTTTCGAATCTACAACAATGACCCTGGAGATAACCACTTGCGTCCCTTACTGGTATGCATCTTTAAAGATTATTCAGGGTCAATTACACAATCAAATCAAATATTTTTTTAACGAAAAAGAAATTTGATAGATCGAAGAAAAGTTAGACTCGCATTTATTTAGTAAAAAATTGAAAATATTAGTTCAAATTTGCATACAAACATAATTTTTATTATTTATATTTATTTATTTTTTACAAAAATTGTAATAATGTCACCAATTCAGTTTCCTTTTCAATCTTTAGGTTTTTTGGAAGGGAAGAAGTATTGGTTAGCTGACCGTATAGTTGACAAGGGCTTTTGTGTTATTTTAACAAGTTAGTGATGTTTTCGCAAGGGGTAAAAAAACGCGGGGTTGTTAAAATATTGCCTTGTTTTTGAAGAAAGCGCTGAATAATGAAGATTGAGAAAAGGAACATTATATAAAAATGAAGATTGGCCAATTGGATAAGGAGAAAACACATCTCCCGAGAAATTGTAGGAAAAAGCTGAAGCAGAAAGGATAAAATTATGGATAGGGTTTTCTCCGGCGAGATTTGGCCGGCTCCGACGGCCAAGGATACGGTGGATGCAGTCTCCGGAGATACCGATGGAACGGCGAGGTTGAACCGTAGCGCATCCGAATGGGCATTCCAGCGATTCATCCAAGAATCATCCTCCTCCTCCGCCGCCGGTGCCGGAGATATTACGGCTGCGTATGGTAGCTCAGACGCAGGACCTCCTTCTCCGTGTCTTCCGGTTGATTCGGCGGAGTATCGGGCTTACCTGAAGAGCAAACTCAACCTAGCTTGCGCTGCTGTAGCCATGAAAAGGGTATGCTTCTCTCTCTCTCTCTCTCCGTCGGATCGATACAAGTTCAAAGGAAAAAGACATCGTTGTGTTGTCGTTCCTGGTTTTGTTTCCATGTTTTTTTCTTGTTCATGTTTGGTATCCGAGAAACTTGGAGCATAAGATGGGTTTTGTGCTGAACTAATTCCTATGTCACGTCAATCTTATTACAGATCATAGAGGCTTCGCCTTATGAAGCATTAAGATTTGTACGTAGCATGAAACTATATCCCGTGATATGATCTGATTTTCCCATTTGTTTCGACTGCTCGGTCTCGAGGAGTACTATATCAATGGCTCATTCGATTTTCGGAGTAAACTTGTCTCCTTTTGGAGATTGTTAACCGAGAACTAGAAGAAGAAATGTTTGCATTTTACATCAAAATTTTCTTGGGTGTCCTGTATCAGATCATATCACAATATAAATCTTTGTTGGTCAAATGAAAGTTGATTCATTTACGATTTTAATATCGGTAGGCATCTTTCACAAAACCTCAGGAAACATCTGGTAGAGCCAGCAGTGGAGCACAGGCTTCCAGTGCATCGGAACAGGCATCTCCTGCTTCTTCCAAAGGTTTGCACTTCTCATACCATACACATTCACATCACTAATGCTTTACGAGATTCAGTAACTGGCCGTGAATGGATTTTAGAAAACCACGTATTGAGTTCTACTCATGTTGTTCTTGCTTCATGAGCAGTCAATGAAGTTGGCATGCTTTCATGTGCAGCTGCACCAAAGAAACCTAGTGTTCCGGGCAAGTCTACAACAAGTGGATCTGAGCTCTCTGGCGACGAAGAAGCTGATGGTGAAACAGAAACAACTGGAAATACGGACCCCCTCAATGCTAAACGCGTGAGAAGGTAAATTACTTTCCTTGTATTTAATTTCTCATTGTTGCAGTTCCTCTTTCTTTTTTTCTTTTTTTTGTGCTCGATGAATCGGTATCCCAACCAGCCAAAGATGTCGGAGGAAAACAAATTCTCAGCTTCATGGTGAAGAATCGTATCTTGATCTTCAGTGCAAAGTTAGATTCTTTAAGACCAAATCAGCTGTTGTCTCCACAGAACTGAATAGCGTGTCCTGATTTACCAGCATTATGGTTCAATTGAAAGAGAAATCTTCGGGGAGCAGTCATAAAGAGCTTTGGACATTGTGGTGAAACAGAAATTGTTGTCTGTGATTTGTTCTTGAATGTATTTGTTTGTTTTCTGTTCCACAGGATGCTTTCGAACAGGGAGTCTGCTAGAAGATCCAGGAGAAGAAAGCAGGCTCACTTGACTGAGCTAGAGACACAAGTGTGCACATTCTCACAACTTTTCTTTCTTCTGTACTTGTTTGTTTCTCCCCCTCTCATTCAAGACATGAATGATTTCATGTTTTTTTGGCAGGTATCAGAGATGCGTACAGAGAATTCTAATCTCTTGAAGCGTCTCACGGATATAACGCAGACGTTCAATAACGCGGCTGTGGAAAACAGAGTTCTGAAAGCGAATGTTGAAACATTACGAGCTAAGGTAATACGCTCAATGGTTCTCAGGATATTGGAGGAACTGAATTTCAACCAGATTGCAGTCATACATAGCCCCACGTAACTTAGTGTTAGATGTTGGTAGGACCATTGTTGTTATGGCTAGGCCATTGTTGGCCGCCCTCAGTATGAACAAGGATAAAGAAGAGCTCTATGGACCAGTAGAATCTGATCATTCCTTTGTTTCTTGAGACCATTTGCCTGTTAAACTGCAACGACCTGTAGCCATATCGGTAGGCGTTATCTGTGTTTCTCCTCATTTCATGTTTTAACCTTCCAAATACAAAAGTTACTTTGGTGAAGAAATGGTGAAAACAGCCCCTCCACCTTCTTTTGTGGTATAATTTTTGCATAACCATAGTCGGTAAATCCCTAATTTCAAATATGACTCTTCAGTTCAGTTTTGGATAGGATGTTTAGCCTTCTTCAACATTTTCATTTTTCCAGGTGAAAATGGCTGAGGAGAGAGTCAAGAGAATCACAGGCTTAAACCCAATGTTACAGGCCATACCCGACATTTCCACGGTATCTGTTCCTTCATTCAATGGCAGCCTCTCAGAGACATCCTCAGATGACCCCGGTCACCGCATTTTCCGACATTCCCCCAACAATTCTCTAGCCACAAGTAACACAGACAACACAGCGATCGAGATTTCTTCAGCCACGAGCAAGGCCTTGACTGCATGCAAGATGGAAAGAACAGCTTCACTCCACAGGGTTGCCAGTTTGGAGCATCTGCAGAAACGTATTAGCAGCGCCTCCCAACCTTAGCTATTTAACTGAAATTTTTCAGACAAGGCACTTTTGTCAACATCTTTGGGGATCTAACTTGACATTTCATCAGTTCCATGCTATCGTTCTTGATTCTTTCTTCTTGTTAGGAACCTTCTCTCTCGGTGCTGCTGTAACTGTGCCATTCCAGTTTCTAGCTTTCTCCCCTGCTTTTAGCTTTGTATATATTCACAGACAAACTCCACTTTAGGGCTACTGGATGTAATTTCTTCATCTGGGTTTGTTTTCAAGTTTATGATTATGTCATATTTTTTTAGATTCTTTCCTTGCTTTTTTTTTAATGGTAACATGGAGAATATTGTACATTTTCTGTTATATAAGAGGAAGAATCTGGGTTCTTGTACTGTCGTGTGAACCCTTTTCAAATGTGTAAAATCATGTAATCTAATAAAGATGTATATAAACATAACACATCATATAGATTATGTATACACATTACACATAACAAGAGAGGGATGTGGGAAAAAACTCTTTTCGGTAAAACATTTAAAGAATTAATTTTTTTTACTCTAATTATTTTGTGGGTTTAATATAAAGCGGAGACAAAAGAGGGAAAAAAAATCTGAAAAGACAGAAGGAAGGAAAAAAAAAAGAGCAGCAATGGCGACATCTGCTGCGACTCTATTTCGTCCACCAGTTTATCTGCCTCTCTCTTCCTCTCGCTCCTCCTTCTTCTCCACCTCAGTCGCTGCCGATTCCTTCGCCAGGACCCGATATAAGACCCGTTATTTTGTGGTGGGTCGACCCGGAATCCGACCCGAACCAACCCGGAAGCGTTTCACTTGTAACGCCCTGTTTGGCCTTGGAGTGCCGGAGCTGGTCGTGATTGCCGGCGTCGCTGCTCTGGTTTTCGGACCTAAGAAGCTTCCCGAGGTTGGGAAGAGTATTGGGAAGACGGTCAAGAGTTTTCAACAGGTTGGTTTAAATTTTCTTTTTCTGGGTATTGTTTGGATTGGGAGAAAATGGTGGAAACTGAGGGAAAGTTTCGAAATTTCAGTATATGGGGCTTCTATGCCTGCTTCGATTTGATGGGTTTTCACTGCTCTGTATAATTAGTTTATGGAAAAATGAGAAAACTTGTAAATTTGGATTTTCATATTCTACGATGTGTGAAAATCTTCTGGATTTTTATGCTTGGGTTAGGAGAAAAGGATGTAAAGTATCATAAATCTTGGATTTTTCAATGTTTCTGGTGCTTAATATTCTATTGGTAGGTACTGTTTGGTCTGCGAGAAAATCATAGAGAGGGAAAAGATTCGAGATTTGGCTGGTTAATGTCTCCTTTCTACGAGAAATGGTTAGAGGAGAAATGTCAATACTAGGCTAAGAGCTGTGATACTGTGGCTCCTTAATTCATTTCATTTTCTTTACTAGATATCATGACATTTATCAAGTGAAGAAGAAACCTTGAAACCCAATTGGCAATTGCCTGATAATGACTCCGATTTCCCGAAACCAATCCAGGAATTGTGTGAGATTAGTTAGTGTCTTTATCCTTAGCCGTTTCTGCCTTGTGTCTCTTGGAGCTCTTGTAAGATGCGCCTCTCTGTGGATGCCAAGACTTGCACTTTTTGAATCTTGCAGGGTCATTTTGTTTACCATTGATCATTACACTATCAAGGTTTTTCAATCACAGTTAGGCATTTCCAAGCACATGATCATTCATGTCTCATTCTTTTGTCGATGATGATTTACATATGATTGTGCTGACAAGTCCTGTGGGGTTGGAAATCATGCAGGCAGCAAAGGAATTCGAGTCTGAGCTAAAAAAGGAGCCTGACCCTCCAACCGATTCATCATCTGCTGAGAAACCCGTGGAAGTGAGCATCACAGAAGAGAAAAAAGCCGAGGTCTCGACCTCAAAGGAGAGTGTATGATGAGACTTGTGGGTTCTTTTTTCTTGTAGCTACCAGATTGAAACTCGGACAATATATTTGATGAGTTTAGATCAGGAACTCATTAGGACACAATAATTTTCAAGGCATTGCCCCCATCTTGTAATCAAATCTCTTTGTCTAAGAAAATGAATCGAGAAACGATCTTTCGTGTAAGAGGTTTTGTTGGGGATTGAATGTATAAATTTTGCCTGTCCTGCTGA